AATGAGACGTGCAGATACGATGTGAAAATATCATCTTTCGAAATGTCACCCCAATTTTTCGTCTAATACTAGTGTTTGAGTCCACTGACAAGCGGGCAGTAGTATCGTAACTTCACGGAGTTGAGATATCATTATTCTCCACCAAATACTAGCAAACACCATCTACACCTTAAAAAGTATCAAATTCAGGACAATTCTCTCTTATCTAATGATTTGTCTTTGAGATGCAGTCTGTGTGAAAGTTGTAGGAATTTTTCTGGAACAGGGACTTGGATGCCTAGAGTGTACAGTGCGGCTTGAGATCTCTATGGACGTTGCTTTGCCGCTTCAATCCTTCTATCCTGAAATTTTCCAAAAATTCGGAATGGACTGTCAGACGCACTTTAATGTGCACAGTGCTGTAAGACACACTAAAGGAAGGTTTCGTCAAATCTACTGGTTTGGTAAGTATGTCAGGCGACAGTTTGTACATATTGCGTGCACGTACGCTTATCTTGCTACTACCATGACATAAGTCATCATAGAGGGGGAACATTTAACCGTATAGAAGATGTTAAAAAAGGTGACTGGCCCCATGTCGACACTCACCATCCGACTCAGCTGAAGAGTCTCCTCGCAGAGTGGTGCTCCATTCTAAGGATAAACAGTCATGAGTCAGACTAAGGATGGCTCACCGTGCTCGTGAATCCGGACTCCAAACCCTGAAAAAGCTTGCAGACCGCCCGCATACACTCGTTCTCTGCGAAAAACACAAAACACACATGTTGTAAGCAAGGTTGCCTCGGTCTTTTTCAGATTGCAAAGGCCAAGACTATCAGTTCCCAGTTCAGGTTAAAACCGCAGTTGTACATGAGAGCGGCATTAAGAGTAGTAGCAGAAGTAGCACTGGGCTACGCCGTCTCCAATAAGATCGACGAAGCAGTGATGCTGTCTTGGAGAGAGGTACTTGATATTCCGCCAAAATGGCGGAAAGGAACCACGACCAATAGGACAACATTGCAGGTCTAAACTCTCAGCAGTGTAGTTCAATCTCCAAGCCGATCGCAGGGAGCTCAGAACGTCTTAATCAGATAGGTACTTAAGACTTAATCTGTATTTACCTTATGCTCAGCGCAAGTCTCTGTGACGGCAAAAACAAACTGGATATGCGGGCCATCCCCTTCTCCCAGGATTTGTCTCAACCAAGACGTCCTGACAGGCGGTAGACTCGAAACTGCAAATCCTTTCAGACATGACTTTTACCTCTGTTTGCGTGGAAATAGGCGCTAATTCACTTTTCACCCTGCCAACCTTTTACTGATTTGTCCAACGGACTTTCATAAGACATCAGGCTAGTCCAGTCAGTTCTATCCTTTTAGCACACTGGTACCTTTCAAACAATGCAAGGGGTATCGGAAAGCAGCATCTTTGTTTAAACAATGATAAGACAAGTATTTCCCGGAAAGCGTTTCATCACTATCGACCACTGTTGCCCATCTTGAAACAATTTTTTAAAATTTATTCGTGATTAATAGAAGTTTGTTGTGGTGAAGACGAATTTCGAGAATCAAGCTTGTAAGTTTATCGATATTTTAAATAGTTTTCGTGCTCAGGAGGTGCTACGAACATGTACACAGATAATTATCAACTGGCGCATAGTCCGGTAAATAGAGTGGATGGGGAAGAAATTCCCAGCCGAAATCTTGGCTCTTGTTCTGGGTCTCTCGGACTGAATGTGGAATCACGCCGCCATGCAGCTGAATGATATTTTTCTATTGGTAAGCTCTCGATGTCCAACGGCCATCGGTTGATGTGCTGTTACTATCTGTCCCGATTATAGTAGTTCGGAGTGAAGTATGCCTAAACACACAGCAAGGCTTTCTCGGGTATGGGTCTGATTTCGGCGTAGGAACTGGAGTCCGACCTTTGGAAAGCCATTGCGCTTGCTGTTAACGCAACTAATCCACTACTTTCCCGTATTCTTAGTAATATGTCCTTATAATTTTGAACAGTAGGCTAGCACAGAATTATATTTCGTACTAGACAGTAAATGTTTGCCCTGTTCTCGCAGCCAAACTATTGTTTTAGACTGACGATATGATTTAGAAGTAGTGGTTAGGAATACTCCAATGTGGGACAGCCCATACAAATCTGTGAGATCAGCCGTCCATTTGCACATCGAGGTAAAATTTTTAGAGTTGTCTGCCTTCTCTGGTTCTCAGTTTTTTTAAACTAATATCTCCAGCCGTCGGACTCTAAGATACTCGATTATTTGGTTGATAAAATTTTGGGCTACGCTTGGTGGCGACGGTAGGATGAAGGACTCCAGCTAACCGTCGGTAGACTGTGGATCGTGCCACACAGTAATGGTGGTAAGGGGGGTTTACGGGTGCGGCATCACGCGGGCAGTAAGTTAACGGGATTCAGGACAACAGAGAAGAGAGTCGGTGGCAAAAAACGATAATTCCGCTTGGTATCTGCATTTTTTAAAATTACAATTTAATAAAGTCATATAGTACACACTAACGAGAGGACAATTATGTGCGCGTTATCTGAGTTGCAACACGAATAACCAGGCAACCTGACCACCATCTTAAAAAATACCACCTTCCTGATAAGTGAGTCCTAGACAGCGATGAATTCACTTTGTTCGGCTTTAAAATGCACACCTTCAAACAGAGCAATAATGCCTATAACGGGGAGTCTTTACGCCTGTTTCATGTTTTCATGGTTTAATTGAAAACATGCTCCCGCCCGATAAATGTTATAATTACATGTTTTATGTAAACTGGAGAAGTCGTTTGTGTGTCTGCAAAGCAGACTGTCTCTCAGCTTTTCAGGTGTGGTCGGTCATTTTAACCGCCTCGCGATAGGGTGCTAGGGTTGTCTACTTAAATAATTTCCCTTTTCTTTCAGGAATTTGTGCAGCTTGACCTCCCGACGTCTTACTTTGCACTAGAACGTACTCGGTGACCCATTCGAAGAGCATTTTGAGTGTCCATAAACGCAAGCTAATTCACGTATCTTCCGGTCTGAAGATTCGTTATGTTCCTTCAGTCGGCCTCTTCATTGATGGGAGTTCTAAGGAGATATGTCATTGTTTTTTAGAGCTGACCTCTTCACGCGAGAAAACGTTCTTCAAACATGGGACATGTGACCAAATTCTCTTCCTACTTCTAGTTTTCCAGAGTTTATTTCTGCATGCATTTATTGCCCTTACATTTTAAGCAAATATGTTCATGTTTACTATTGTCAGTTTGACCAAAGGGAGGTTTGAAAAATGTATTGATTTATGGGACAGGGAGAAATATTGCGACTAGAATATAAAAGTAGCCTGCTAGGACCTCATTTAAGTACAGACGCTTAAGTAGTGTGGAAGAGTGTTAACGATAGTGTGTGAGACCCCAAGTAGATGGAAACTCCAAAAATATACTTTAACATTTGATGTAACTGTAAACATCTTCTATTATTCGCCGTTCCCATAGTGTGAAATTTCCATCCCTTCCTGACTAAATGTAAACTTACAAGCGACGCCTTATTCAATGTCCGCTACTCTCTGAAAATTGCTTTTTGCTCATTTTCTAATTATCGTGCGCACTTTCTTTGCCAAATGACAGCGTACAATAGGCCTCTCGGCAGAAATTTATGCATTTACTGTGTCTTCTTGCTCCCCGTCTTGTGTGCTGTTCCACCCGTAGAATATCCTCTAGCACCACTCAAGGCATTACACGGTCCACAGGCTATCTCAAGTAAGTTGGACGTCCTACACTTTATTGTTGCCGGCAAAAATATCAGTTGGCGTTTTACTGCCGACTACAAACCCATTCAATTGTACTCCTAGTGGGACTGTAAAACAAACGTGAGAGACAGTCGTTCACCTTGCTCGCGCCAGAGGTGCGACCTCTTGCTCCTTAGGGGATTTTTTTTACAGGTCTTTGTTTTCTATTCAAACAAAGTGGCATTCCGAAATGGTTTCTAACTTTGTACGGTCATGCACAGATTTCCCCTACTTTTTACTTCTTCCTGTCCGTCGGAGTGTAAGGGAAAAGGGATCAGCACTGCCGGGGGGATGCAGTGTGGTGTAACGCAGGTGGATTGAATGGTGCCGGGGAAGGGGGGAATGGGGCTTGCCCAACGCCAACCACGCCTTCTAGTTGCACGCGCGTCAAGGTCAAGATGTGTGGAGGTGGGTTCGGGGGGCTGACAGGGCAGTTTGTGCCCGCATTTTGCCGCCACACACACACCACATGCACACACGTGCTAGTAGTTCACCCGCCACAGCCCAGACCGCGCTCGGACGCATGTCCGTTAACAGGGCACTTGGCCCGATTGGAGGTCCGATGCAAAATCGTCGTTTCTTTGGGCGCCAGTTTTGTCAATTATCTTCATGGGGGGGGGGGCAGAGAGGGGTGCTAAGGAGGCAAACAAGGTTTCAATGCTCCACTAACCGTAGAGCGCCCTCTTCTCCAGACTGACGACGAGATCCTTCAGACATTTGCACCACAGCTTGCTGTAATTGAGAACAAAGTCGACGGCGTTCTTGTCTTTTCTGGAGAGAAGTTTGTCCTCCTCAGAAATACCATGGCCTAAATTTCACAAAGAAAAAACAGGAAAGAAAACGTTGAGATCAACCAAAACGCCATCACTGAAAAGCTGAGACATTAACTCCCAACAGTAGCCTAGGACATTGTAGCGCGATTCCTGGCTTAGTAGATACAGTGAGCGACCGATCTCATGAAATGTTGGCTGAAATTCTGAAATGCGTTTGTGATTGGGAAGGATTACTTGGTCGCGGTTGTTATACTGACTATCTTGCGGCATAGCCCTATTATATTTCGGTCGCGGCAGGATGTCAGCTTTTAAGTGCACTGCTTTTCAATCTCCTGTAGAAACCTTACTCAGTAAAAATGACTACTCAAGCAACAGACATTTTTTACATTGATTTTCGATGGTCTTGCAAACTCGAATATATTTTATAGAAACAGGGAACGAAAATAGGGTTTCTTTCAGTCATTTGATAGAGAATCGCGTCATCTTTATCTTTTATACTCGACGAAGAAGTATAATTAGGTTTCAAAAAAGTTTTACATTTCCCGAATAATTTGGAACTTGATCTGCCGTTGCATTAGCGCTTAGTACTTTTAGTCTACAAGGTGCATGCTTTCCGCGTAAAGACGATCTCGTATTCATTTATGTCTTTATAAAGATACCATAAAGAGTCCATAAAATTTTGCAATGGATGCGGGCCATGTTGTACATTTCTTGAGAAGCAGCGGTAAATGGACAGGCACGATGCTGTATGAATGGACGTTGTACAGTTTTAAAAACCTTATAATTAGAAATTTTTTAATACCTCACTGTACACCTTCGTCGAATATAAAATATAAAGATAACGTGGTTCTATATCAACCGACTGAAAGAAAGCATGTTTGGTTCATGGTTTCTATAAGATATATCTGAATATGGAAGACCTCGAAAATCAATGTGAAAAATGCATGTTGCTTGAGAAGTCATATTTTAATGAGTACGGTTTTGACAGGAGAGTGCAAAGAAGTGCAGCTAAATGCTGAAATCCTGCCGGGTCCGAAATATAATAGGGCTATGCCGCAAGAAACTCATTATTACAACCGCATGTAAGTAGTCCTTCCTAATTCAAAACGCATTTCCGAATTTCAGCCAACATTTCATGAGACCGGTCATTCACTGTACTAGTCAGAAATCGGAATCAGATTTTAACTATGTCGTCTTTATTCCAAAAATTAAGTCCGCATTAAGTAACAGTAATTAAACAACATATACTTCTTTAATTTCTCGTAGGATTGCCATAGAGTGGTCATCATCTCCTTTCAAAACACGTTAGCAGCCGCACTTTTTCGTCAAAGTTTTAGTCTTGCTGACTGACCAGGTTCTCTCGATTTGCTGGGTGAGCACGCCGTACATGGATCAACTTGTCCTGGTGATTGACTGTTTTGTGATCTTACCCAGCCACATTAATTTGCCAGTAAGATGGTCATTCGTCAGAATGCATTGTTGAACCTGCCTCTACTTCGCGTTCAGTGATAGGGATCGACGTCGCTGCATCTTGCAGGTGTACGTAAATGCACCTACCATCGGTATCCTGACACAATCTAAAGATCCACGGACCATAAGCGCGTAAGTCGTGTCTTCAACAATTCTGCACTGGACCGCTACTGTTTTTTTTTCGGCAGGTGCATCTTCACCTAAAAGACGGCCACAATTGTGCTTAGGGCGCCCTTCAAAACTGGTTTTCTGGTGTTTCAGTCAAATTTCCTCTCCTAGCGACAGAAACCACTTTAGAGAAGACTTTCCGCCACGGTATTTGGGCATCTGCCAGTAGGCTTTGACACTTCTTCCAGTGGCCTTCCATTGCTCCAGAGATACAATAGTCCTAAAATTTAACTGAGCTTCAAATTACAGTGGAGTCTTCCGTCCAAATCACCAACAATGGAAGAATTCGTACCACTTTGTTACTGGTCGAACAGACTGGCAACCCTTGCTTCTGCCCTTCCATACCGTCACATCCTGTCCACGGACCTTCTTTTTTCGTGAACTTCGTCAGCCCAGTGCACTTGCGGAAAGATTTTTTCTGCATTAAAAGACTCTGTCGGAGGCGATGTCGTGACGCCGCCTCTTCACTGCGCAACACCTCAGTATAAAACTCTCTTAATAACACTTTAAAGGGCATGTCGAAGTGAAAGTACAAAATGCAAATAGGAATCACTCTATAGTAGCACCGGTACCTAATCCCTTGGACAGAGACCGTCACATTGCCTTCAACTTCTCAGCATGCGTGAATTAGTTGCTCTGACGGTTGTCGTAAGCATGTCTTTTCCAGGGCACATTTTAGAATTCCTTTTTTTTCTTGCCGATTTAACAATGCCAGCATTGCATGGACAGTCAGTCAGTTTTACCATTGGGGGTTTGTGGGAAACGCTTCTAATTCCCTAGTTTTATTTCATGGTCAGAGAAAATATGGAGTAAAAAAGAAGGCAACAGTTAAGAGAGGGACACCACTTAATTGTCCGTAGACTAGATCACGTCATATGAGGATTTATCTTGGCATACATTTGTATGCTGTTGCAAAAATTACACTGCCAACGATGGTTACTCAAAATCCGTTATTTTGTGAAACTTCCTTTTTGTTGTACGTTTAATTACTACTTTCATTTTCGTTGTCTTACAATAGTGTAGGACAAGACTTTTGGCATAAATCCAGGCAGTTTTTGTGCTTTCTTTCATTTTTTTAGCTTACTGTCTAGCCTGCTGTCCCAACCATAAAACTCCATTTAGTATAAATCACCTATGGCACGATCCACAGTCTACTGACAGTTAATTGGGGTCCTTCTCTATACCGTTGCCAAAAAGAATAATTTCGAAACAAACGATTCAGGGAAGGAAAGGAAAAAATATGAAAAACTGAGAGAAGGACACATAAAAGTGGGCGACGGTGAAAAGTGAAGACGATGAAGTCATCAGGTTAGATAAACCGAAACTTTCCACTTTTCTGAAGAGCCAATTAAATGTTTTAAAAAGTTCTACTAACATTTTGCTTGTAAAATAAACCAAAAAGCCCTGACCGCTGTGTCTCCCGCTTCCATTGAGGGCAAAATCGAAAGGGGCATCGCTTTGAAAGTTTAAAGGCCTATCCCATTTTCTCAGTAATTGATGTACTAATCATCGCGCTTTAGTAAACTATAACTGGGAGCGTGGAACCACCAGTAGAACTTGAAAAAATTCGCTATTGGAGACAACTTCAGCCTGCAGTCTGTGTTATTTTAACTAAAAAATGAAGTCAGATGAATCTGAGCCGCAAGGGATGACCAAACTCTAATGAATAACAGTGAAAATTATTTGTACAGGAGTTAACTAAACAGGCAATAAACTGTCAGAGCTATTCTATTTTGGTTATTCTAAAGGATCAAGTCAATCACCAGCCGCATTAAACTGGTTCCTTACGGGTCCGCATGAATCCCACATTCTAGAAACAAGTTGGAATAAGTCAGTTTATTGCTAGAAGGGTTTTTGGTTTCACCTGATTCAAATCGTACCTGTCGACGCGACGAGGAGAGTTAAATGGTCAACGAAGACCCAATTCCCGGTGTGAACAATCAAGATCATTATTCCCGGTCAGTAGATTATTAGGTAAAGCCCTCACCAATGTAATAGTGGACTTGCATGATATCGGATTTCATCGAGGCATCATTGGTTGGTGACGGCACAATGACGAAATTCACCATCCCACTGCCTCGTCTTTATCAGCACAACTCTCCCGATCACTGATCGCCGTTTGCCAAGCAAACGCCTGCGTGAACAACTGACCATCAGCTCCAATGCAGAGCGAAAAACGCTCATTTCCCTGATGCAAAAACGACAAATCGGTATCCATCACTCTCACATGACTAAATACCCCCGATACCAGGAGACACTACGCGAGTCCGTTATTGCAGTTATGAGCGCGTTGCTCGACCGTAAACAAACTTCGGGTCCTGATCTCGGTTGTACATCTCGGCACGGCTGTGCCCCCGAGAGATGACGGCAAATAAAACAGAAACGGCCAATCCACTGCCCCTGTACATGTCAATAAAAACTTCTCCTTCGCATAACTGCTAAGCGTACGCTCTAAAAATTAACAAAACTTTCTGGTCCACTTGGTTTTATGCGAAATCAGTTAGTAAGCTCACGAGGGAGTTGTATTCCTCCAGCTGGCATGAATGTAAGCCAGGTTTTCAGTTTTGTTTGTGAGAGGTTCGACCTCGAGTCCGTGCACTTTGCTACACAGCAATGAAAGTCAGTAATGGCGAATGGTTAACAAACTGATTGTTAAGTGGAACAGCACGGGAGATCCGAGATCTTAACCTCGAATCAGCGAGTCTGATAATTACTCAGCTCTATCGATCCTGATGGGGAGGACAAAGGACAGTCTGAAGGGGAAGGGCTTTTATGTTCCATGCATCAGGTTCCCTGGGCTTCATGTTTCAATGAATGCCTGATACGATCAAAAAGACCTAAACACCAGGCTTGAGCGCACTCAGTGGCTATTCTAGTTCTTTATAGGTGTAAACACTTTTTATAACCCAATCACTGGCGGAAAACCAATGAGGGAAAAGCATTCTTGGCCGTTTCATCAGTTCTTCACATCGGATTGCCACCTCGCTGAGAGCTTTTAGCATCGGACCACTTGGGGTTGTTTTCCACATAAGAAGGAACTAAAAATACCGCTTCCCATCTTACCTCAGCATACTTTCTATTTTCTAGACGTAGTATCGAAAATATTTTCGCTTCTCTGTAGACTTCAAAGGCTAGTATGCCTCTTGGGACCGAAATTAAAATTTGAGTTTTAGTTTCTAGTCGAAATCCTGTAATGCATTTTCGATTGGTAGGGATCACTTGGACAGTGTTGCAACATCTATCGTTGTAGGGCATAGTCCCAAAAAAATCAGTTATGCTGCGGTTCTGGCTTTTGAATTGGCATCCCATTGGCCGCTTGCTTAAATCATACTTGGTACAAAATGGCTGCTTTTTAATTCCCAAGTAACTTTGCGTAACACCGGACGTTTCATTTGAGTTTGGGGTTTTAAATATAAATGCTGCATAATTTTTCTGTAAAGAAGCTAATATGTTTTTCTTTGCCATCATGAAAACGCCAGTTGAAGGTGCGCCATGTTGCAACCGTCACAAGCAACATTAGTAAATGAACATACATGAAGTTGCATGAAAAAAATATTTATCTGTCCTACAACACCTTTTGCTTACCAACTCTGTCAAAGCTGAAAAATACCCCTTCTTAAAGTATAACATTTGGAGAAAACGCAATGCTCTGCCAAACATGTACAGGAAAGCATGCTTTTTGCATGTCTTCGATAAAATATATTTAAATGTGTAAGGTCCAAAAGAATCAATTGGAAAAAATGTATACTAATTAAGTATTCTTTTTAACGGAGTTCGGGGTAAGAGTAAAGTTTTTGACTGATTCTTTTAGCTGATAATGGTCGTCCCGACGGAGGCTGCACATCCAGTAAAAACCCCACGTCTTCCAGCTTGTCATTTACCCCTGCACAGACCAAACTGTCTTACATTCAGAAAGCAGAAAATCCTGTCCAAAATTCGGGACGAACTATGAGAGAGAGAGAGAGGACTGCTTTATTTTGAAAATAACTTTCAAAACTTTCAGCAAAAACGGTTCTCCTGTACACAGTGATTACCATAGAGATTGACAGGCAAATAACTGAGTAGAATTACAGGACGAATATATGTAATTGCCACGGCTCGTCCATCACCCGCCAAGAGAACCGTCATTATCCGGAATAGCTTGTGGTGGTGCCTCGTGTATGAATCTAGAACATTGTGAGATGGGCTCGTGCAAGAACTACCTTAATAAACTTTTCGCATACCCATCGTCTTCTTATGGATGCACAAGGTTAAGATAACGGAAAATGGAGGCGAATGCGAAGACTTGCGTGTCCTAAAGCTTTTGAGTTACTCTTGCCGTTCCCGCACTCCGCACAAACCATTGTTTATAGAGAGTCAACTGTAATCTGACTGGGGGTTTGGAATAGGGTCCATTTATCGATCAACTCGGCAGCATTTGAGGTCGGGACTTCTGGCGCATGCTGACCAGGTAAAGCGTTTTTGTTGCTGATAGTGAAAACATTATGCATGAGATCAGAAGCGTAACAGTCCGACGCTCTGTTATCCCTCCCATACCGCAGGTCCGAGATTCATCGACGTTTGGTGAAATTTGACATATCAGCTGAAAGAGTGTTAACTCCGCCACCCACTCTAACCACTGCACATAAATCGGACTTTCCCTAAATTTTGGGGGTTCATAGGAGTTAGAACTGCATATGTTTACATACGAGTTTCCGTTCGCCTTGGCAAATTACGCTGTAATAAGGCCGGATGAGTGGTGTGAGATGCTTTTGTTGATCGTTGACGAGTTTTTTTCACACGACCGAAATCACCCTTGCGTACTGTAAGCAGAAGATCCGTACAGTACCGTTTTTGTTAGCATACGAACGGCCAAGTGTCACATAAGAGTGCGAAAAGTGAAATTGGACTGGACGGAGGCGTGTACGACTTCTGGTACTCGAACTTCACTCGCGTCATGATGGAATTGCAGGTAGACAGCCAGACCTCATTGAGGAAATACTGGCATTGTGTTTGGATTTCGTGTAGCGCTTGTCATCTCGTCAGGTAACTCTTCCATTTTGGTGGAAATGAAATTCCGATGAGGGCCAAGCGGTGCCGAAACAAGGTTTCACAACGTAGACAGTTGAAAGGACGTGTTGTAAACGACGACAGTAATGTCTTGGAGTGTATGGAATAGGTAGATATTTTTGGCATTGCGGCAGATCCAATAGGATTAATCCGGATCAGAAGCGTCGTTGCAGGCGCATGAGAGCGGTCTTTTTTAGTAAGTTCTTGCATTTATGATTTTGCCCGCCTCGTCGGCGTGTACGCGTAAAGTTGTCACTGTAGAATATATGCTGTGTGGGCGCTCCTCAGCTATGCCTCCGGCATGATCTCTACTCAGTTGGACATGATTCGACTAGCTAATAACGTCCAGTTCCCTCCGGAGGCGGCCTCGGATAAAATGGTTCATTTTTCAAATTCCACTTCGATAGGGCTTCGCCAGTTGATATTAACTAATTAATGAAAAAGTAAACATCGCGGATCAAACGACTCAATGCTCACATTCTACAACGATGCGACATGCATGTAGACTACCTCTTCTAAGCGCACATTTGATGATACTGATTAGGTATTCTCTTTAAAGGTGTCCGGGGTAGGAGCAAAGTGTTTGTCTGATTATTTTAGCTGATAATAGTCGTTCCGACGGAGACTGCACATTCTCTGAAAACCCCACGTCGTCAAACATGTCATTTACCCCCGCACAGACCAAACTGTATTTCATTCAGGAAGCAGAAAATCCTGTCCAAAATTCGGGACGAACTATGCGGGTAAATAACTGAGTGGAATCACAGGGCGAGTATATGTAATCGCCACAGCTCGCCCATCACTCGCCATGAGAGCCGTCATCAGCCAGAATAGGGTGCGGTGGTGTGTTGTGCATGAATTTGGAACATTGTGAGACGGCTTCGTGTATGATTTACATCAATTAACTTTTCGCGCGCCCCTTGTCTTCTAATGGAGGCACAAGGTTAAGATTACCGGAAATGGAGACGGATATAAAGGACGGTGTGTCTTAAGGCTCTTGCCCCATTCTTGTCGTTTCCACACTCCAAATAAACCCTTGTTTAGAGAGTCTACTGTAGTCTGATTGGTGGTTTGCAATAGGGTCCATTTATCGATCAACTCGGTGGCATTTGAGGTCGGGACTTCAGGCGCATATTGACCAGATAGAGCGTTTTTGTTGTTTATAATGAAAACGTAATGCATGAAATCAAAGGCGTAAAAGTCCGGCTCTCCGCTATCCCTCCCATACCGGTCACAGGTCCGAAATGCATTGACTTTTGGTGAAATTGGGCACATTGGCCGCAACAGTGTTAACTCCGCCCCCCACTCTAATCAGTGCACATAAATCGGATTTTCCCAAAATTTGGGAGGTCATAGGAGTTAGAACTGCATATGTCTGCATACGAGTTTCCGTTCGCCTTGGCAAATTACGCGGTAATAAAGCCGAATGAGTGGTGTGTGATGCTTTTTGTTGATCGTTGACGTGTTTTTTCACACGACCGAAATCACCCTTGCGTACTGTAAGCATACGATCTGTACAGTACCGTGTTTGTCAACAGACGAACGGCCAAATATCACATAAGAGTGAGGAAATTGAAACTGGACTGGACGGAGGCGTGCACGACTTCTGGTACTGGAACTTCACTCGCGTCATGATGGAATTCCAGGTAGACAGCCAGACCGCATTGAGGACATACTGGCATTGTGTTTGGATTTCGTGTAGCGCTTGTCATCTCGCCGAACAACCCTTCCATTTTGGTCGAAATAAAATCCCGATGAGGGCCAAGCGGAGCTTACCAACTCTGCCAAGGCTGAAAAATACCCCTTTTTAAAATATAACATTTGGAGAAGACGTAATGCTCTATCAAACGATAAAATATATTTAAATATCTAAGGTCCTAAAGAATCAATTGGAAAAAATGCATACTGATAAGGTATTCTCTCTAACGGAGTTCAAGGTAGGAGCAAAGTGTTTTTCTGATTCTTTTAGCTGATAATGGTCGTCCCCACGGAGACTGCACATTCTATGAAAACCCCACGT